TTGGGATGCTGCAGTTAAAGAGGAGGAGGATCTGGCGTGAGAGTTCAAGTCTTAGGGAAAGGAGGTTTCTCCGCAACACACTACTCTTCACAGAAGTCCAGCTCATGAAGCCATGGCAATTAAAGCTGGATCGAAGCGGATTCTTGCTGCAGTGCGGATGCGGTCAAGGACAAGAATTCCCCGCATTATATATTGCATTTTCATCCCCTGCGCTTGCCTTAGTTGGAGAATAATATAATAAATATAAAGTTAAAGAATCACGAACTGAATATAAATGATAAGTTATTTATCAATATAAGTTAAAGAATCACGAACTGAACTTGGGACTTTCAAAATCATCATCATCCTCCTCCTCCTCATCATCATCAGGGAAGTATGCTTCACCAGATCGTTCTCTTGGATGCTTGATGCAGACAAAACGGTCATCTCTATACTAGAAAAGTTACTTTTTTGGGGAAGGGAGGGATACTTTGAATTCCCAGGCCGCACAGACGATGTCTTTTTCATATTATAGAGAAAAAGAGAGACGTTGGAAAAGTTACTTTGTGGACTGAACACCTCCCCCCCTCCCAAAAAGAGACATGGTCATGCATCTCTTCCCTCTTTGTGGCATGTTGGTTTGAGTGCTGGACTACGACTCTGGAGACCAGGGTTCGAATCTCAGCTCAGCCATGGAAAACCACTGGGTGACCTTGGTCAAGTCACACTCTCTCAGCCCCAGAGGAAACCCAGGACAAAACCAACTCTGAAGGGGAAAAAAATCTTGCCAAGAAAATGCCAGGAGAGGAAACGACTTGGAAGGCACCCGACAACAACTCTTCGGCTGCAACTCCCAGCATCCCCAGCCTTCCTTGCCCTTCCTGGTGGACTACAACTCCTGGGAGGTGTAATCCACCAGGAAGGTGGCTAAGGGCAAGGAAGGCGGAGACTTTATGCCTTTGCCACCTCCCTTTCCTTTCTGGGAGTTTTTTCCTAAAAGTTTTCCTAAAACTTCTTAATAGCCTCCTCCACCTTTGCTCCCTTCCCCTCCTTCTTTCTCTCCCCTTTTGTTTTCCTTCCTTCTCTCCATCCATCATGGCCCTGGAAGGGTGCTGAAAATCAGGAGATCCCTCCTTCCCTTCTTTCTTTAAAGCCCCACACATTCCCAGGACAATTCATGCAAACTCTCTCTCTCTTCCCCCCCCCC